GGCGGTGGCGGCGGAGGAGAAGGCGACATGCGGAGAAGTGGATGCTGAGTCTACCGCGTTAAGGTCTGGACCCCCCCCATCCCTCCTTTTGATCTGTCAGCCCTTTTGAAATGTCCAGTACGGAGACAGGACTCGCTGCTTACGGAGGCTTATCTAATGCTTTCCCGGGTCTACTATCAGAGTGTATGTTGAGCAAGGACAAGAGATGAGTTGGTCAGACCCTCTGCTATCTATCTGGGGGAATTACAGAGAACTTTCACATGGATAAAAAGTAAGATGACTGTATAGATACATTTGTTAGGATATGAGCTTATTTCTTGTTCCTTTGCAGTTTCACAGCATGAAATATCATCTAACTGGTGAAGTACTCACTACAGTAATATCATTTGTGTTTTGTAGAGCCAACTTTAGTTTCCTGAGATGTGTCATTCCCGGCTCTGCTCAGCATTACTGAGGTGCACATTTTTGAAATTAGACTTTGGATGATCTTCAAGAGGTCTTTTTGGCACGTTGCTGCCAAACTGTCTGGAGTACAGTGCACAAACAATTCTTTCTCAAAATGCTAACACTAAAACATTTTCATCTATTTGTGTTACGTATTGCCACATAAGTCGTTTTTTTCATACAATAGCTGACATTGATTTAGAATAGAACATTACTGTCCCACTAGCAGGACATTTGTCTTCGTCTCAATATTAAAAACAGCACAATAAACTGTTTTTTTTTAATCATCAGCAACACCAATATATGTACAAAATCTGAGACAACTTAATGAGATCTCCTACCGTAGGGATATTGCTTAAGCCCAGCACATAGTGTAAATCAGAGTGTTATTGATTAACACTCACAGATTAGTTGCAAATAAAATTGCCAATAGGGATACTACTGACAGCAGCTTTACAAACCGTGGCCAGAGAGACTTGTAGACAGACCTCTGCATCCTTGATTCAGACATTAACAGCAGCATGAACTGTGCTGTTTTACAGTAACTGCTTCTTGACTGCAGTGTAAAGCCCAGTTGGTCTTAATGATCAGCACAGAAGATTAACCCTTTACTCATTGTGAAATACCCCTCGAGCGCGAGAGTTCTGAACATACCAAAAAAATATGACTAGACTGTACCAGAGTACCTAAAAATAGATATTTTTTTCTAATTAAAATGTGTGAATTGCAAGTGTTTTTGCACTTCAGAAAGTGAGAGAATTCCCGCAAATCTTTTTTTGTGAAGAAAACAAACTCTCGCCCATTCCCGGTGTAAAACATGAACCTGTGCTGCATACAGCTACATATTCCATGACTGCACCAGCTGTGGATCATTGCTGTGTGATGATAGCTTTATAGACAATTGGTTTGAAGATTTAGCTTTCAGATTTGCTCTCTACTAACTGGTCTGCTTATTAACAAATTGCTAACAAATGGTGCTTGTTGAAATGGTTTGATTTGGAATTAAGAGCTGCTGCTTGGAGATTCATCAGAGGGCATTCAAGCATTTGAAATCCTTCCCAACAATTTTGATTCTGCATCGGTTCCTGCGTAATCTAGATGGAATGCGTCTCAGCAGAATTGAGAGTGCCTCAGAAAGCTATTCAAGAGAAAATCATTACGCTTTGAGCTCTGCAGGCTTGCTGTTATTTTCTTCTTTTTTCTCATCTACAGTTTTGTGAAAAAGTGTTTGCCCCCTTCCTGATTTCTTATTTTTTTGCATGTTTGTCACACTTAAATGTTTCAGATCATCAAACAAATTTAAATATTAGACAAAGATAACACAAGTAAACACAAAATTCAGTTTTTAAATGAAGGTTTTTATTGTTAAGGGGGAAAAAAATCCAAACCTACATGGCCCTGTGTGAAAAAGTGATTGCCCCCTAAACCTAATAACTGGTTGGGCCACCCTTAGCAGCAACAACTGCAATCAAGCGTTTGCGATAACTGGCAATCTGGCAATGAGTCTTTTACAGCGCTGTAGAGGAATTTTGGCCCACTCATCTTTGCAGAATTGTTGTAATTCAGCCACATTGGAGGGTTTTCGAGCATGAACCGCCTTTTTAAGGTCATGCCACAGCATCTCAATCGGATTCAGGTCGGGACTTTGACTAGGCCACTCCAAAGTCTCCATTTTGTTTTTCTTAAGCCATTCAGAGGTGGACTTGCTGGTGTGTTTTGGATCATTGTCCTGCTGCAGAACCCAAGTGCGCTTCCGCTTGAGGTCACGAACAGATGGCCGGACATTCTCCTTCAGGATTTGTTGGTAGACAGCAGAATTCATGGTTCCATTTACCACAGCAAGTCTTCCAGGTCCTGAAGCAGCAAAACAGCCCCAGACCATCACACTACCACCACCATATTTTACTGTTGGTATGATGTTCCTTTTCTGAAATGCCGTGTTGCTTTTACGCCAGATGTAATGGGACATACTACACCTTCCAAAAAGTTGAACTTTTGTCTCGTCAGTCCACAGAGTATTTTCCCAAAAGTCTTGGGGATCATCAAGATGTTTTCTGGCAAAACTGAGACGAGCCTTTATGTTCTTTTTGCTCAGCAGTGGTTTTCGTCTTGGAACTCTGCCATGCAGGCCATTTTTGCCCAGTCTCTTTCTTATGGTGGAGTCATGAACACTGACCTTAATTGAGGCAAGTGAGGCCTGCAGTTCTTTGGATGTTGTTCTGGGGTCTTTTGTGACCCCTTGGATGAGTCGTCGCTGCGCTCTTGGGGTAATTTTGGTCGGCCGGCCACTCCTGGGAAGGTTCACCACTGTTCCATGTTTTCGCCATTTGTGGATAATGGCTCTCACTGTGGTTCGCTGGAGTCCCAAAGCTTTAGAAATGGCTTTGTAACCTTTTCCAGACTGATAGACCTCAATTACTTTGTTTCTCATTTGTTCCTGAATTTCTTTGGATCGCAGCATGATGTCTAGCTTTTGAGGATCTTTTGGTCTACCTCACTTTGTCAGGCAGGTCCTATTTAAGTGATTTCTTGATTGAGAACAGGTGTGGCAGTAATCAGGCCTGGGTGTGGCTAGAGAAATTGAACTCAGCTTTCCAAAGATGTGATAAACCACAGTTAATTTATGTTTTAACAGGGGGGGGGGGCAATCACTTTTTCACACAGGGCCATGTAGGTTTGGATTTTTTTTTCCCCTTAATAATAAAAACCTTCATTTAAAAACTGTATTTTGTGTTTACTTGTGTTATCTTTGTCTAATATTTAAATTTGTTTGATGATCTGAAACATTTAAGTGTGACAAACATGCAAAAAAATAAGAAATCAGGAAGGGGGCAAACACTTTTTCGCACAACTGTACATACTCCGCTGTGCTCTTGATGTACATAAAAAAAAAAGAAAAAAACGCCTTTGAGTCAGATTGTTTGAGGTTGTTTTTGCCCACTTGAAAGCTGGTTCAGATCAGAGGCAAGTTCTGGCTTCAAGCGAAAGGAATGCTGCATGAGCAGATCAATACTCAGAGAGGCTCCTGGCGAAAACCAGCACCATCATCCTACGGAGCAGGATGCTGACTCCTCTGAAGTTCCCACTGTAGTCAAACAGGAACATTATCATCAATGCCAACCGTGGGAGTGTGTGATGAATGACGGATAGATAGATTTAATAATTATTTCAAGTATCCAGTCTGCAGACAAGCAAGAATTTGGCATCACGTGGCTGTAGATGCACTGTAATGATGTGTTTACTTACATCCTTACTTGTCAGGTAAATGTCTTGAACTAAGTAGGCGTCAGCAGCAGAAAACATTTGTAAATCAGTGATCATGAATGCACTTTGTATATGAAGCAGCATAGGACGACTCCTATTCCTAATTACTCTGAAATGATACTGGAATTTGTGCTGCATTTTCCACCTGCATGGAAAGAAATGTGTCCAGAGTCGCTGTGATTCAAGCCACACTAAATGCCAAGGGCAAGGAGATGCAGCATGTCCCCACTGCAGATTCTTGATGAGTTAATGAGCTTCAAACTTCCCAGACATTGGACCTCTGCATGAATGTGAGTGGCTTTTGTGTCGACAGCAAACGGCACAAGAGAGGAGTTTTTTTTTAACACGCTTTGAGGCAGGAGCTTGCAAACGGTAGGTGCAGACAAAGACCTCGTCTCCAAATAGAGACCTTGAAAGCAGGCCGTTCACTGATGCCAGGAAGAGTCTACTCGGCTAGGCTGTGTGCTACGATGGTAAAACATTTTAAATATTTAAACACTGCGCCGACCAAATGTGGTGCGTGGCATTTCCACCCGTAAAACGCACTTTCTGTGATTCTGTCTCTTATTGTCATATGCAGTGGTGGACATCTTGGATGTCAATCTGTTCAGGAGGAATAAACAAACACCTGGTGAACACCTGACATTCATGTAGAATTATATTAAGCATTGCAGCAACAGATCGATTGCTGAATACCTCCATCAGTTGGCCTGTCAGTGGAATGGAGCCTCATGATTGAGGACAAAAGAAAGAGAAAAAGCAGCAGTGTGTGTTTCTTCAACTAAATGTGTTAATTACCCACAAACCTATTGGTGAATATTACCACATTTATGTTTAAATGTAGAAATGGGAACATTCTGATGTCACTTCCAGGCAAAATGAGATGCTACTCCATTAACTGTGACAACTTGCACAGAATTGTTGTTTCTCTCTTTGATCATGAGAATAATTGGATTAAGCTAATTACATGCCCAGCAGAATAGTATACTTGTGCTCAGTAACCGTGTATACACTGTGTTTTTCGATGGAGCTGATTGTCATTTGCCTGTAGCTGCTGATTTGAATTCTATTGCAAGAATCGAGCAATTACGACATGGTCATATAGGCATCTTAGCATAATAATTACTTTGATTATGGTCGTATTTAGTAAATTGATATTGTGACAAAGCTTGCATTATGAGGAATGCTGATTGCCTCAAGTAAAACAAGCACATCATTATTTACTACATCAACAAATGCAGTATGCAAAATAGCAGAAAAACGAGAATATTTACATAAAAAACAGCTTGATCAAATTATTCTCAAACTCTAAAGTACATGCAGTAATTAGATTAATGTGTGCCCATAACCAAAGATATAGTGAATGATACTGGCTTCATACGAACAGTAATAAAAAGTTTGAAATAGGTGATGTAATTTGTGTTTAACACAAAGTTCAAAACTTTTAAATTGAGTTAGTCTCCGGTGCAGCAGTGTTTAAGAGGGCGATATAATATGATTCTCACCTGAGAGCACAATATGGGAAGTTGCGAAACAACCAACAACCGTGATATAACTTTGACA